CTATCCAAACACTCATCCATTTTTACTTAAATAAACGTTTATGCAAATTGATCTTGAATAAAAAGATGAAGGCGTAAAATTGTAAAACTGCTATAAAATTCTGATGTATGATCTGATGCTGTAGCAGTTCATCCTGATTCAATTTTTTGTTATTATAAATTTTAGAACGTTGCGATGGTTCAAAAGAGTTGCTTTCGAAATACAAACTGTTGTCTGACATCAGGACCTTGCCTTCATAATGGACGTTGTAAACCTAGTTACCCATCTGATATCTTGCACTCGCCCCGTTTCACATGTGTCTGTGCCCCTGGTTACCGTGGAAACCGCTGTGAACAGCCAATCAAATCGTGTCATGGTTACATTGGCGGTACCGCAGACCACGCCCCAGCGTCAGGTAAATACACAATTATTGATGACATGGACAAACCCTTCCAGGTTTTTTGCAATTTCAACTGGACTTTTGACGGAGCAATCATGTCTTGGACACTCATTCAATCCTACCAATTAAAAAACAAGGACGAGTTTCAGCTGAAATCGTTTTATATAGACCATCCTAAAAATGAAGAAACTCCCCAATGGGAGTCTTATCGTCTTTCAATATTCAAAATGAAGTCCATACAGAAAGATTCCTCAAAATGGCGAATGACGTGTCGATATGAAACTGACGGTCTAAACTATACAGATTATATGGAAGGCTTGAAAACCAATGTCGATATACTTAGCTTTCGTGAAAATGGATGCAAGGAGGTTGAGTTTATAAATGTACGCGGTTATAATTGCGCACATTGTAAGGCTATGCTGAAACAAAAAAACAATCGAACATTTCACCACGATTCTTTCTGGAGCTTTAAAAAATGCGCGTTCAAGCCCCTAAACAGCAAAGAATGCTTTGGATATAAGGAGGATAATTTCGGTTTGTACAACTGCGTCAATCCAATCCACCGCTGTTCTATGGATGACGAGTCCACCTCTCAAACGTGGCTAGGCTCTTGAACTGAGCGCGCATTGTGCCTGATCAAGAAATGAAAAATTTATAGATCACGGCCTTCATATATTTTACAATCAAGCAAACCTGCCAACATATGGGTCCTGAGACCATATCAATGCCTGAGACGATGTATAATTTCATTGACTAGGGTCGAATTAAGTAGCGAGATATATGAAAGGGAGAGACGGAGAATGTATTTATAACTTATTAACTTTTACAGTAATATTTTACTGTATTACTTAATTTAAGTATGACTTTAGATCTTCATCTCTAAAAGTCAGATTGATTTTGCGCATGTGATTTTTAGGTTTTATCTGTGATTTTATTTATTAGTTCATCAATTATGACTCGCGCATGCGCTTTACGTTTGACCGCGGTATTGTTGGATGTTGTTGGATGTAGCGTTCCAGAACGTTCCAGTTATAGTATATCAGATTCCAGTATACTCTTTAGCCACGACGGTCTGTGGCTAAAAAGTATATCAGATTTCATTATACCTTTTAGCCACGAGCCGGTCTGTGGCTAAAAGTATATCAGATGTCACTATACTTTTAGCCACGACGGTCTGTGGCTAAAAAGTATATCAGATTTCAGGATATCTTTTTAGCCACGAGCCGGTCTGTGGCTAAAAGTATATCAGATTTCAGTATACTTTTTAGCCACAAGCCAGTCTTTTGTTGGGCAGTCTGGCAATATTCGCTCAACAGTCTGGCAATTTTGGGTTATTATAAAAATAAATGGGACAAATTCTGTCAATTTTATGGTAAATTTTGTGATGTTTCGAAAATTTGTGTGATGTTCCGAAACATTTTTGTGTATCCGAAAAATTTTTTGACCCCTAAAGCCCGTTCTCCACTACGCGAATTTGTTCGCGCGACGCGAAGCGAAAACCGAAATCCGGCAACGTGATTGGTCGGCGAAAAAATTCGCGGCGAAAAAGTAGGATCGCTTCCTACTTTTTATCTGTTCGCGCGAATAAATTCGCCTAGTGGAGAACGGGCTTAAAATGGTACACTGACCGAAATTTTGCGGAGGTCGCCAAAATAAATTCCGGGAAAAATGTTTTCTGTACTGGTCGGGCACAATCCGGAAAAGTCGGGCAAATTTCTTTCCGCCCCCCTAATTTTTTCCTTCCGGTATGCCCATGTTCGTATTATAAACATCCCTATGTGTGCAGTTCTAAATTTTTGTTAAAATAAACCTTGAGTTATACTCATCTCCCTGCTTTGTTATCAACCCATCCTCTTGGTTTGTATGATGAATATCATCATACGGTTATCCCTGACTCGTCCCCAGTCGCTTACCTAACGCGCGCTGAATTACCCAACGCGCGCCAAAACGCCTCGGGGCATTCCCATGGTCCTTTGCGTTAGAAGCAGTGTTAGGGACTGTGGAAGAGTCAGCGGTTATCCTTGAATCTATGATGTACTTATCATACAGACACACAATCTCGTACCTAGAGCAATGCCTGTGCGCGGGCTAGGATGGCATTGGCTCTGGGGAAATTGAATTTTTCCTGTGCTGTGATTGGTTTAACGTTTATCAATCGTGCATGCCGAGAAAGAACCGGAACCCCTAAATTTAGGGGTTCCGGTTGTGAATTTCCCCAGAGCCACAATCTCGTTCTCCGAGCCTGCGATCCTCGGGAAGGAACGCGAGGCTCTGGGATAATCCGTTTCAGGGAGGAATCTGATTGGCCGTTGAAATGGATGCGTAGTTCAATCTTAGCCAGCATTCCTGGCTTCCGGCAACGGATTATCCCAGAGTCTCGCGTTCCTTCCCGAGGATCGCAGGCTCGGGGAACGAGATTGCCAGAGCCAATGCCATCCTAGCCCGCGCACAGGCATTGCTCTGGGTCTCTGACCCAGTGAACTCTGCTGCTCTGACCTGTATGAGGGGTGAAATGGGACAAAAATATAAATTGGTGAAGACAGATGTTTTCGGGCAATGTCTCATGTTTTCGGGCCGTATGTTTTCGGTTCACATGTTTTCGGGCAATGTCTCATGTCATCGACATCGGGCCGTATGTTTTCGGTTCACATGTTTTCGGGCAATGTCTCATGCATGTCATCGACATCGGGCCGTATGTTTTCGGTTCACATGTTTTCGGGCAATGTCTCATGCCATCGACATCGGGCCCGTATGTTTTCGGTTCACATGTTTTCGGGCAATGTCTCATGTCATCGACATCGGGCCGTATGTTTTCGGTTCACATGTTTTCGGGCAATGTCTCATGCCATCGACATCGGGCCCGTATGTTTTCGGTTCACATGTTTTCGGGCAATGTCTCATGTCATCGACATCGGGCCGTATGTTTTCGGTTCACATGTTTTCGGGCAATGTCTCATGCATGCCATCGACATCGGGCCGTATGTTTTCGGTTCACATGTTTTCGGGCAATGTCTCATGCATGCCATCGACATCGGGCCGTATGTTTTCGGTTCACATGTTTTCGGGCAATGTCTCATGCATGTCATCGACATCGGGCCGTATGTTTTCGGTTCACATGTTTTCGGGCCGCATGTTTTCGGTTCGCATGTTTTCGGGCAATATCTCGGCTATTAGTAAAATCAGGAACACCGGAACAACGGAACACCGGAACACGGAACACCGGAACACTGGAACAGCATCATTCCGGAACACGGAACACTAAAAATTCTTAATTTGTTAAAAATTCGGAAAAAAAAATCCCGGGGGTATGAAAGTATTGCTGCAATAATTATTGCGTAAAACGTGCCTTTCTGACCGATAGCTACTAATAACGAACAGAAATCCTCGGCAGAAATCAGTCTCAAAGTAATAAATATTTGCCCGAAAAATAGAAATCAAACCTAGAATTGTTATTTGTTGAGAATATTGAATGGCCCATCTTTGTTTGTTGTTGAAAACATGACAATCAAAGTATTAAGGTAACAACAGTTGATTGGCTTCCTTGTTTTTACCGACTTTAATAGCTACTCTTGAAGTGCAAAAGGATAATTTTCAATTCTCGTTCGAAGTTGGTATTTAGCATCACTTTAATACAGACAGTTCCGCTTAATATTGATCCTTTCTCACACGAAATCAGTGGCGTGCTGGCAGGGGGCCCCCCGGCCCCCCCAGCTGGCAATTCTTGGGGGGGCGCAAAAATGAAAAGGGGGCGCCGTCCCGTGCTGAATTTTGAAAGTGGGTGGGAAAAAACACATTTGAAAAAATATAGTTACTTCCGTCAAGAAGTATATATTTATACAGGCAAATAAACAGATCGAGACTAAGCGCATAGACGACAAAGTGATATATTAAATTACAGACTGTTTGGTCTAACCGTATTGGCTAATTTGCTACTTCA